CCTAAAAAAAAAAAAAAAAAAAAAAGGTCTCCAATCTAAAATAATAGACCAGGAGGATAACTACAGAATTTTTTTGAAGTAGATAAGAGAGGCACTAAACTTGGCAAGGGACCACACCTCTTCCAATGACCTCTCAACCCCTCTAAAAATTCACTCATTTCTCTCTAGCGGCTGCATAAAATAGATAGAAAGAAAAAAACAGCCAGCCAAAGGATACAACCCTAATTTCATTAGGCAGATAGAGTAAGACCTCCTCCACCATTAGATGACAATCATATTATCAATCATGCACACACCAAATGTCCCGAAAAGAAGTCTTAGTCGAGAGTGCCAACTTGCATCTCAATCCTCAGGTGCCTCCCTGCAAAGAATACACTACTACAGCCAAAGCAAGCAAAAAGAAGATGTGTTTTAAACGTGGTGGTCCATAGGATTAACAGTCCCATGTAAAGCCAGACAAGCAAAGAGACTTATATCTTCCATAACAAGAAAAATATAGGGTTTCTATGTGTTTCTATGGGCACCCAAGAGGAGGAGGTAAGAACGACAAGAAAATTCATTAGAGAAATTGGGCGTCCAAAACGAATATCTCCACTACCCAAGCAAAGATGCACCTCTACCAAAACTTCCCTATCTGATAGGGGGTAGTGAAAATCAAAGTTAAAAAATAAGAAATGATTAAAGATACAGATGTAGACCTAATGAGGGAAGCTTACAGAAGTATGAATTTAATCCTGTACAAGATCAGAAATAAATAATTTCCATAATTTGGATAACTAAAATACTATCATCTTCAGCAGAGAGAAGGCAGGCTTCTTTAGCGTTTACTCCCATGGCTCTAATATCATCCTAACTACCAATCCTCAGAAAACAATTTGACAGACATCAAAGGCAAGAAACGGTAAAAGTATACGTGATATTAGAACAACTATTGATATGTAAAAGAATAAAGTGCATATATACATGCAAATAATTATGATACGCATTTTACCTCATCAGGACCAGCAGTGAAGAAGTATATGAGATTGATCGCCGAGAAACCAGTCTTTATGATCTTTGGAAGGCCACTGTAACAAAGTTAACCATTTTATGTATCAAATTATTACTATATATTGTGAAGCTTCAAAATTGTTGTGAAAGTAACACTGTTTAGTCATATGGTTGGGTTGGCTTTTCTTTCTCCTTCCTCAATTACATTCTTGTTGGCATGGATCTTCACATTACTTGCCAACATAATATGGATGTGGAAAAGCAATTGAACTAGAGTAGATAGGTTTGTTTGAAAATAAACATTCACTGCAGCATGAACTAAAACCAGTAGTACTTTTCCATGCATGCCAATCAAGTACACGATTGAATATATTTGTGTACTTCATCCATCAAACAAGATATCTATGTTTTTATGCTTTTATTAGGGAATCAGCTATATCTTGTAATTTAAAGGCCATATCTACGCTAGCCTACAACTTGGAGGTTTTTTTTTTTTTTCTAGAAACAAGAAAGTTGACAGCTCTTCTTGTTCCTTGAGAAAGGAAAAAAAAAAAACAAGGCATTTGGGACCGAGTATTATTATTTGTAATTCAATAATTCATTACATAACATTTAATAATTATTGAATATACATTTATAAAATATTAAGATCAATGCCACGCTTGTAACTATAGAATTAAATTATTTTATTTCTTGCAACTCCTTTCTCTTTTATTTTAAACCCCTCAAGTCCTTGGTACTACAAAAGCCAAGACTGGAAACTCACCTTTGAACCTTGTTCTCTTCACAATACTTTTCTAATTCATCTGGGGACGACATATCCGCAAGATTTCTTTCTAACACACCACTGAAAGGAATAATTGTTTCACCACCGTGTTCCTGCACCCTGTTATTAGGAAAGGATTGCTTGATTATTTGTAACAAGCAAATTCTAGTTGAACTTGAAGAGCGTTAAAATTTAATTGCAAATAGCTTCATCATGGGAGAAGAGGGGAGAAGCAATCAAATGTACATGAACATAAACCAAGATTGATTTCGTATACAATCCAATCCATAAATAGCACATGTTCTGTTTTTTTTTTTAATAAATAAATAGAAAATGTATTGAATGATGGATAGTTAATTCAAAAAAGTAAATCTTTAAATAGAAAGGGAAAAAGAACTTCTAGTTATAGAATACAAAAAAAAATGATAAGCATAATATTGAGCAAGTGAACATAAGACACAGCACGTATAAAACTGTTTTATTGGAAGGAGAAATAAAACGATAAAACGATAATCATATAATATAGACGGAAAACTGATTGGATAAGAAATCCCGCTGATAGAATAGCAAGCTTGAAACTGCACAATCAAAAAAATAACATTGAGCATGTTAAAACTAGACCTAGAACAATATTTTTCTAATTTTGTTGCCAATTATCAGGAAATATCTTGTGCGCACAATGTGCAAATTAACACAGAAAATCAAGCAAATTCCCCCCCATAAATTAAAGGGAAAATCTTGTTTTTGGATTATAAAGTTTGGGTATAGGTCTGTCTATTTAGTCCCTAGATTTCAAAATCTTACCCTTTCATCCATGAAGTTTAGGATGATGATCGTAACAATGATTTCCATTCATGCCTCGAAGCGAGAGAGAGAACTAAAAGAGACGGAAAATGGTGCAGAACAAAAGGATATGTGAAGGCGACGTCATGGGTTTCACCATTATTGAACATTGCTCGCTGGAGATGAGAGAGCTAAAGGGGAGGGGGAGAGGGAAAGTGGGGAGGAGCGAGAGTGAAAGAGAGTTTTTTCCATTCATGCCTCGAAGCGAGAGAGAGAGGAGGGCTGGAAGAGAGGGAAGATGGTGCAGGACAAAAGGGTATGTGAAGGCGACGTCATAGGTTTCATCATTATTGAACATGCTCGATGGAGATGAGAGAGTTAGAGGGGAGGGGGCGATGGAGGGGGAGTGGGGAAGTGGGGAGGAGCGAGAGTGAAAGAGAGAGTTGTTTTCATTCATGCCTCGAAGCAAGAGAGAACTAGAAGAGAGAGAAAATGGTGCAGGACAAAAGGATATGTGAAGGCGACGTCATGGGTTTCACCCATCATTGAAAGTTGCTCGAGGAAGATGAGAGAACTAAAGGGGAGGGGGCAATGGAGGTGGGAGAAGGGAAGTGGGGAGGAGCGAGAGTGAAAGAGAGTTTTTTCTTTTCGTTCTTTTAAATAGTCAAGCCACTTATTTTATTATAAAATATGTCATGTCACTCTTTTGTTAAGTTGACTATCACTCAAATGACTAAAATAAACTATTTCCTAAACCTTAGGGATGAAAGTTTAAGCTTTCAAAACTGAAGTTCCTAAATAGACCTGTTACTCAAATCTCGAGAACCAAAAAGATAATTTTTTCTACGATAAGTTTATGTAACAGTCCAAATATTTTCATGCACAAAAACAAAGACACACAACGAGGCTGATAGTAGGAAATGAGAAAGGATATAAAGCGAAATATAGATTACGAACCAGGCATGAATCTTGGGGAGAAATTTGTTCTTTTTTCTTTGGTAATCTCTCTCTGTCATGTTAACCTATAAAATGTAAATATGAGCACAATAGAAATATCATTCAGGTCAAATAAAAAAAAATTAGGAGAAATTATAGAAGTAGAAAACAGATCGAGCACGAGTTTATCAATAAGTTATGCTGTGGACAACTACTGAATATTCAATCAGAAGAAAACAATTATTTTCACAGGTCCTTAATTGACTTCAAACGTAAAAAATCGAGCAACTATCTAATTGCATTGTAGTAGTGATCTCATCCAATATTTGGTTTAGAAGGTTCAACCTCGTGACAACAATAAAATTTGATCTGGCAGAGAAGACTTTATGTCTTGTATCATGCAGTTGGGTTTGAAGGGATAGGTTTTATTTTATGGAATTTCTATGATCTGCTCATCAATTTCATAGTCTATTTGGGTTGTCTGATCCATCCACGTCTTAAAGTATCTGTTCCTCTTTAAAGAAATATTGCAGTATCTTAGAAACAACTTCAAAGCCAATCTAAGAAATCTAATCTCAAAAAAAGGTGGACAACCGAATAAATAATTGATAGAAGGCATTGTCATCTACCAGCCATTGATAATAATAATATGGCTTTTAATTCCCCAAAACAAAATAATAATGATATAAAGAAAACAGAGAGAAATATTTGGTAAAAATAAGGTGACTTAGCTAAATCTATTGGCTCGTAAGGATTTGATAAATAAGTGGAGATGCATGATATCTACCGGCCATTGCCACTTGAAGGAAGTGGATGATCAAGTCCAAGCGTATCAACCAGCCATTGATAATACTAGAGTAAGCATTTGATACACGCGATCATCCCCTCCTCTAACAAGCAACGAAAACTTCGGCCTCAAGCATTCTACCAAAATCAAATTTATCCTAGAATTCTTAAGATCCAATTAAAATCACTCCTTTTCTTCTCGTGCATTTCCAATCATCCACCATGTCATTAGTTACAAATATAGAATCAATAATTTGTCTATTAGCAATTGATTGAACAAAACAGACAGTAAAAGGCTTGATCAAAAAAGAGACAGTAGGAGGAAGAATCACCCCTGTATAGCTGCTAATCCTTCAGCAAAGACATTGTAAATGCCAATCATTAGGTTATGAATGTGAAATCTGAGACTTCAGAAGAATTAGACCACTTGGGAATCAAGTCAGTCTTACTAGCTTTAGTATGTCAAACCCAGTCTGAAAAAGATTCATGAAACATCTCTAGAAAATCAAACTTGAAAGTGCTTTTTTGTTTTTAAAGAACTCGGCGCTAAAGTTGTGTGCCTTAAAGCTTTCAAGACTCCATTTGCTTGAAAAGGTCTTACAAGCTGTAAGTTCTTTTGCACAGATAGGCACCAAATCAGATTTCAAGGGACCACCCCAGATCTGGGTCCCTGAAGAAAATGGTGGCAAAGAAATCAATAAACTCCTTGCATTACCATTCTGTCACAGAAGATTTGCTGTCTGAATGAAGCAAATCTATGAAAGGACCTTAACTCTAACCCCCTCAAGCCACTTAAACTTGCATTCTCTCCTACAAACGATTACTTACTTAGAAACCAGACTGTGAAGCTGACCTTTCAAACCACTTCTAGGCTACTTTTGTTTCTTTAAAAAAAAAAAATTAAAACCACAATTTTAATGAGAAAGATGAAGGAAAACAAATGGCATACAAAAAATATAACCCAACAAAATGAACCACACAAGACAAAACAAACTTTACAAAATAGGACTCTGATTGAAAATGTTAAGACCTAAAAGTAACTAAAAAATTCTTAGCAAACATGCAGCCAAAGAGAAGAATGAAACTTGGCTATAAGCTAAACCCACCCTAAAAAAATAGTTGATAGACCTTGGGAGGAAGCCTAAGGGCTTCGCTCTAACAACCTGCTTTATTTTACGAGGATGGAGTGATCTTGGAGGAGGCCCAAACCAAAGGCTTCCCTCTAACAACTTGGCAAGAGACCTAAAGGTTTCTTTTTTATCTTGGCTAAGTCCTCTTTCCTCCTCCACAGCATCCAGCCTTTCAATGACCCTGGAATGGCTAGTCTTTTGAGTTTGAATGTTGCCAAGAGTGATAGTTGATCAACATTTTAAAAGAAAAACAGTGATCTACTTCCACGAAACATATACTTCAAAATTTTGGATATTTACTTGAATAATAAAGACTAAAAGACATCATAAAAAAAATTAAAAAATTAAAAAAATTAAAATAAAAAAAAAAACTAAAAGACACAAAATTTGGAGAAAGCCGTCCATACTTGAATCAATACAACAGATAGAAAGAATTGAAAATGATATGTTCAAAAAGTAAACAATATATAGACAACATAGAACCAATAAATATAATATAACAGCAGAGATACTTGTTAACATGATAAGGCTTACCAAATAAACAACAGGCTTGGCCGTGAGCAACTGAAAAGTATTGAGAATCTCAACATCAGCAGCTTTCCAATCACCCAAACGAACATCTTTACCTTCCTCAAGCGATGCCTTGACCTGAAAATGTAATTATACCATCAATTTAGTTCATTGAGCATTAATATTACTGTTTTTGTTCATCAAGGTCAATTAACCTTCAATTAGTGACTTGGTTATAGTAAAGAGTACAAACATTAGACTAGAAAAGTACATAAAGAAAAAACACATCACAACAAAAACAGAATTCCAAATATGAAAACCACACCTTTAGGCAGCACTCGAGTTCAATCTTCAACTGCTTGTCATTGCTTCTCTTCATGCTCTTCTCAAGATCCTCAATTTTATTTTTCATAAATTCAATATCCTAGGTGGGACATAAATTTTTAGATGAATAAAACAATTTCAGAAGTGCTATCAGGGGTGGAAAATAATGACAATAACAAGTAAAAATGAGTGGAAGAGGCTTTTTTTCCACTAAAATGTCCCAAGCCATAAAGCACCTAAGATACCCTGCAAGGTTTACATGTCCAAAATTAAAGAAAGTAAGCTGAATCTCTCCCCTTTCCCTCCTCTAAAAAAAAAAAAAAATATATATATATATATAGACATATTGCAAACATTACAAGAAACAGTTCAACTTTATCGTTTAGTGAAATATCAGGCACTGTAACTTTGTATAACTGGATTTAGAGGAGACAAAGTAATTCAAGTATCTTCCAGTTAATGTTAGAGCACACCGATCATATAGATCCGTGGAAAATGCAACGTCAGCCATGCTACTAGGTGATCATATAATAGAAGCAGGACCAAAGATTTAGTTTTACTTTTTAAAAGATCTCATTCTTGAGAGTGCAAAACATTTACTATTCTCAATTTGACAGTAAATTGGAAAATTTTGATTATTCAAAATCTTCAACCAGTAAAAGTTACAATCCAACATTGAAATTTAAAAGAGAACCAGAATTGCAAAAATAAGGCAAACCTTCAAACGTAGCTCTTCACTGATAACCTCTAAATCCCTAACAGGATCCACGGTATCGTCAACATGAATAATATCTGCATCCTCAAATGCACCTAGGGAAAGAGAAAGAGAGGGGGGAGAAGAAGAAGAAGAAGATATAAAATACAGAACATAAGAAAAAGCTTATGGTGCATGAAAATCAAACCAATCCATGGGCCAACATGTGTACTCACAAAAAAAAAAAAAATTCATTGTTACCAAAAGAAAAAAATCGTTAAAGGGAAGAGAGATACGTCATCTAGAATGTTAAACCAATCATCAATGTAATCAGTTGAAAGCAAGCAACAAAACTTCAAATTAGAGGGCACGGTTGATGTGGACATCTTACGTAAAACATGGAAAATGCCGTCAACAGCACGGATGTGCGATAAGAAACTGTTGCCCAACCCTTGTCCTTCATGAGCTCCTCGAACCAGTCCAGCAATGTCATGGATTTCTAGAAATGCCGAAACCTGTACATTAAGATTACTTCAGAATGATGCAACACAAAACTCAAAATTGAAATTTATATTGCCAAAAGTATGATAGAACTACTTTAAAATAAATTAGTATTTTGTTTGTATGATAAATGCTAATAAGCAAGTTTTTCAGATCCCTTTCAAACTGCTGGAACAGAGGGTTGAGAAATCCCAATCTCAGCAAGAAACCCACAAAACTACCTCCAACATTGACTAGGGGTTTTGAAAAGTGCGACTTATTTTGAGCCCTTTTAAAAACCTCAAAGAAACCTTCTCTGGCTTCATCAAGCTTCGAAAGAATCCCAAATTCATAAATCCAAATGAATGCCACTAACTTCAGTCCAACCACCATAATGGGGATAGACATGGTTTCTTCATGAAGAGTAGCATCTCATTTTTCATAAGAAAATCAAATCATTAACAGTAACCCAATTTTGGTTCACGAAGAGTAACTGTGACTGAGATCACCCACAAGAAGGCTTCATCCAACTTTTTATGTGAAAAAAATTGACTTTCATTGAGGAAAAAAAATGAAAGAATTCACGGGCATACAAAAAAGGAAAAACCCACAAAACGGAGCCAAATTACAAGAAAGGGCTTGAGCCAAGAGAAATAAGATCAAGCGAATAATCACTAAAGAGCCTAGAAACAAATTTCCAAAGAGAAACAAAGAATACATCAAGAGACCAAACATCGTCATAAGAACTCTGACGCTCTCTACACATTCTATTGTTTTTCCACATGAAATGATCTAGTTCCTATGCCACTCTCTTGCATAGATACAACAAAGCAACCCAAGCACTAAAGATCTTCTAGTCGATATCTGATCAAGGTGTAAACTCTTCCATGCAACACCAGACACATGAAGAACTCCAACCTCTTGGGAATTTTCACCTTCCAAACTGAGGAGAAAATAGAACCACCCATCGATGAAAAGTTGGTTAAGCACTAGAAGAAAGAGCTACAATAAAAACTTGTGGAATGACAAGGACTCCAACAGCGGGAATCCCCCCTCCTGGGCCGAAAACAAAACGGGGAGAAGGAGGATAAGAGAGCCAAGACATCTTATGTTTCCCTATCATAATTTAACATGGTCGAACAAACTAAACAAGGCAGGCAAGTTGGTAACGGAAGGGGTGGAAGTTCTAGGTTTCTATGGAAGTTATTCATCATGCTTAGGAAACTTATCCAACCCCCTTTCTACACCTTCAAAACCCCATATTGCAACATTTTCTTCCCTGTCCATTGACTTTATAGATTCAATAATGAGTCCCATGTATTTTTCATGTCTTTTCCACCGAAAAGATGTAATTACTGAACGGACTTCTTTGAGATGAAAGTGGATGGGGCAAATCATTTGATGCACCTTAATATCATCAACCGTCAAACACTTTTGCCTTCCTCTAGGGCTACTAGCAAACCTCTTACCATGCTATAGCAAGTCTTCCTGTGCATGGGGTTTGTACTTTAGCACTTACGTTTCATGTTCCATAAATTTTTGTCAAAACTTTGACACCACAATAAAATCTTATAAAGTGAAAATCCTAATTATAACCATCATAGAAGAATATTTTTTTCACAAAAAAAAAAGTTGAAAAAAAATAATGAAGTCGATGGGACAGTGCATTAAGTGACAAACTTATATCACAACGTTATTAATGGTGTTGTACATTTAATTTACTGCTTTGGAGTTCAACATGCATATGGAAAGATAGTATTGAACTGAACATTACTAGCACTTGGATTTCTATACACTTTCAGTTCTACTAGAAATAACCAAATAAAAAATAACTTTCCATCTCCGACTTAAAATGGAACAATTAAACAGTTTTAACAGCCGACACAACAACAAAAAATATCTAAGGAAATGTTGAGCTATACAAGTGCCTTTGAATAATAGCTGTAAAACAGTGAGCAGACCTCGCTTTTCGGTTTGTATAAGTTGCAAAGCCATTCAAACCGCTCATCAGGCACATTTACTCTGGCTTCATTAGGTTCAATGGTGCAAAATGGGAAATTTTCAGCAGGTATGGACAGCTTTGTGAGTGTGTTGAAAAGAGTAGATTTGCCAACATTAGGCAATCCAACCTGAAATCTCAAACAAACGCCAGTCACTGAATTGTACAGATGAATAACCAACACTTGACAACATTGCTATGCCTTCAGAAAATAATGTACAGAGTATCAAAAGCCAGGTCCATCCACAATTTTAAGCGCAGAAGTGGAAAATGATGTCAGTTTACAGAACTTCCAAACAAACGCTAAACCAATCAAAACCAAAGTTAATCAATAAATAAAGTCTATAAAGAATAAAAAAGATAATCAACTTCGTAAACTAAAAAAAAAAAAAACTATAAATCAGAAGCGTAATCTTGTAACAGAACAGCAAAATCATAATTAGCACTCGCATCCTGGATTACAGAACCATAGATTCCAACGAGACAATAAACAATGAAATGAAAAACAAAACCCGTAGCTCATTGTTTAAAATTCCGGATAAATGAACAATCCAATGAAATTTCATCCTTGTCAATTCCAAGCAACCAATCAATGCATAACTGGGAATCCACGAGGAAATAAACGCTCGAAGTAAGAACCTACAATTCCAATCTTGAGATGGGAAGAAAAACGGCCAAGAATAGGTCGTTCAGCTGGAGCTTCCTTGGATTTCGAAGCTTTCGGAGGCATTGCTGATACTGAGACGAAAGCAAATGGTCGTATCGGCTAGCTGAGATTTGGTGCCGAATTCAGAAGGCGCAGTGAGCGGCCGAGAGGGAGGCCTTCAATGTCGATTATGGCAATAATGCCTAAAGCCCAACCCAGCCGTTTAATAAACCCTAGCGAACTCACTCAGCGTTGGCTCAACGCAGCCCCCACTATACAACGTAATTTCAGTAAAACAGGATTTTTTTTTTTTTTCTTTTAAACGAACCAAAAAATAAAAAATCTAAAAATTTTAAAATTAACCATTAGGAATATAATAATTCATTTCGTTACCAAAAAAAAAATTAAATCTTATTAAAATTAAATATTTATTTATAATAGTTTAAATATTACTATGTATTTTTAAAAATATTCAATTTCGTCCCGTTTAATTCCTTTATTTTCAAAATACTCCTTTGCTCCATGTACTTTAAAAAATTGACCATTCTATCCTATAATTTCACTTTTAGCTTGTTTTTCTATATTTTATATTAACTTTTTTTTTTTTTTATCAGGGCTAAAATTGACTTTTTTTTTTTTTTTTATTTGCGTCAAATTTAACATTTTCAAATTACATCAATGGCTTTCGGAAGAAATAAAAGTCAATATTTTTTAAATTTGTTGTGAGTTGACGAGTGTGGTTAAGAATGTGAAGATATGTATAAACACGAGTGAGTGGGCATTTAGCTAAGGTGAGTTTGTATCGAGTGAGATGAATTGTTCGGGATGCGGGCTAAAGCAAGTTTGTATATTGATGTGTATGTATTACCCAAAAAATTATATTGAAAATCGTCTTTCTACCATTCACTTGTTAACCGAACAAATACGTGGGTCACAGGGACGAATAGACAGACACGTGGAAAGAGACAATATTAAATATATGTTGATTAACCCTAAACTCGAGACTACATTCAACCTTTTGTAATATAATCGCTATCACACTTACGCTACATAACACCTTTTAATAGAACTCAATGATAGTTACTTGACATTCAAGCACAACAACTTCGATAGAGTTCAACGAAAACTCTCGATCCGATTATGAATGGTCGCCGCTACACCTCGACACTCTCCACATCACTTTGGTGTTGTCCTCACGAGCAACACACTTCGCTTCAATGTTCTTGGTTCCATAAATTTTATAGATGACAATTTTACCCCTACTGCAACGGAAACTAATCATATTGATAAATTTTGAGGTTCTAATCACACTACAAGTGTTAATCATGGTCAACAAACTAACGAAAAACCATACAACCATAAGAAAACTGATTGTAAATCACATGCTTGCCTCGAGGAACGAGCAAGCTATGCATGCTCGTCCCCCCAAATGAAAGAGATAATCACGTACTTCCACTTTAGCTAAGTGATAGCACCTAAAGTCTTATAAATTGTTACTGAATAAGATGCCTTTTTGGAGATGGAGTGCCTCGTTTATCGAAGTTGGTTGGCAAGTTATAGACTCGATCTTTGACTTTCCACTTTAATGTCTCTATTCGCATAGACGATTTCATAAATTCATTCAAATGTTTGACAATTGGGTTTCACGACAACCATTGAAAACTATTTGGAAATGGGGAAAAAAAAATACATATTATATATATATATACACACACATATATATACAAAGGTTTTATCATTTACTAAGATGAAAAGCTTGTACCAAAGAGATGGCCATTCATTTTCCATTCCCATCCTTGCATGATCCAGACCGCTCATAAGAGGGTAGAACTCATTGTGATAATTTGGGTGTTTTGTACAGAGAACACGCGTCGATGGTTAATTCATCCATTACTGTGCACAGTGGAGATTGAGAGCGAGCGAGCAGGAATCGCGGAAGGAACACGGTAGGTTCTCTCAATTTCAAAAGCATTTCCTTTGCGGTAACGATTAATCCTTAATTTGTTAACTGCGTGGATATTAGAATTTGCCATCTTCGTTAGCAATCAGGATGTTCGTCAATTTGTAACTTTGATCTTAAACCATGCAGGTGTTTCTTTCCTGATTTGAGAACCGATTGGACGGCTTTGTGGATCAGTTGCCTGGTAAAGGCTTCCTTATCTTTCTTTTATCCGAAAGGGGTAATTTAGCTTTTCTAATTTGGATTCTATTGTCATATATTTACATTTTCTTCGACAAGCATCGATGTTTTTAGAAGATAGTAGACACGTTTAATGAATTCAAAGCCCTTTTTGAAATATCTATGATGATTTGTTGCATCAGAAAGAAACGTATGTTAGTTGAAATTGTTGATCCTTAGATCACTGTCATTTTGTCCTTGCTCTGGCGAAGTCAAGAGAATTCAAGACATATACAATTTGCTCACTATATTTTCTTTCAAATCTGAATCCTCCTTCAGAGTTACTCCAAGACTTTTAAAGGGCTGGTCCTCTGAGGGGCTGGCTTTCACTGCTCAATCACGGCTTTAAGGCAAGAGTCTTGTGTCAAAATTAGAAGGAACAAAGAATACATGCAAGCTTTCCCTAAGTTCTTGATTGCATCCCCTTCATTTCACGGTGGGCGTGGTGCCCTGCCTTCAGCTGGTGGGCACCCAGCGGATCTTACCTTCCTTGCTGGTGGTGGTTACTAAGACAAGCCTTCGACTGAGCGGCATTCCTTGTCACTGGATTGTCCCGAGAAGTTAATATACTGTATACAGTTTGGTAGTTTGAAATCACCATTAAACATCACTCTAAGAATGGTTCAAGCGAAGCAGATCGAGGATGAGAATTTGTGCTCAAAATATACGGAAAATGAGCTTTTAAAAACTCAGAAGTCATGCATCAACGGTTAGTGTTTTTTAATTATACTATCTTTTCTGGTAGTTCTTCTTATCATCCTAGCTGTGTGGTTAGAATAATTCGTATCCTCCCTCTTGTGAAAACTATTACTGTTCACTTTCATTTCACATTGTTAGTTACAGAAAAGTTCTCATTTTTGCTGAAATTAAGAACGAGGGTAATTTTTAAAACTCGTTGGGTAGGGAGCCTTATCTTAGTGTGTGGAAGCCCACCATATTCTCCACCTCCCTATCTCCCTTTTCCCATCATATAAAATTATCTCTTTCCAGATTCCCCAAACGGTTGCAGAAACTTAAGTTTGGATGGGCAACCTTAGCTTTACAACTCGAGCTTAATCAACGTTGTTAGAAAAAAAAAAAAAAGAAAAAAAAAAAAAAAAAAAAAAAAAAAAAATCCCCAGTAGTTATAGAGACACTCTCTATATGTTGTTTAGAGGATATGGGCTGTCTTTTACCATTATTTGTAATGGCTGCTCTGATTAGGTGGTGGTTGTATTTTTTAGATTAATTTGTAGTAATTACTCGGAAAACTGCATGGCTGAATGTACATCACCTGTTCTGATGTTATATCAATTGTAGACACTACCTATGGAGAGTTCTCGTCCTTAGATTTTCAGGGATGATCTCTTGCTAAGTGTTAGTGCTCTAACTTGACTGCCTGTTTAGTGTAGTTAACTGTCATCCTTGACTGATAACCAAGATTTCTACCTTCAACTTTGTTGACATTATTTTTTTCGATTTGTTTATGAACATAATCTTATGCTCATGTGAAGCCTATTGATAATAAAAAATAACTTTCAGGTATTAGATTACCTCTTTATCAATTTGGTAGAAATTCTCCTTTAGATGACATTTCCTTCAAAGCACCTTCAGACGTTCCTCTGGAAGAACAAACCATATTGGAGTCTATACTTCTTGCCAAGGTATGCTACTATGCTTTAAGTATACTTTTTATTTCTTGGTGTTCTGGACGTCTGTGTAACAGCGGTCCTTCCACATTGCAGTGGGAAGAGAAATTGTCTGAAGGCCATTTTAGATATGATGTGACTCTATCTGAAATTAAGGTCGTGTATACTGCATTTTCTATTATTGAAACCTCATTTGACTCATTGCTGGAATCAACCTACTGTCTTCTAGCCCTCCAAAATATGGAGAAGAGGAAAGGCTGCTGAGACCTGTGGGTTTTAATATTTTTTGCAGGCAATCGTGGGCCAGAAAAAGTTCCTTGCTCAGCTGAATGGGAGCTGGACCAACCCTTCTCTGTCACAATATGAAGAGATAAGGAAATGCGATCACGGAAGTCTATTTCAAACTAATTGGTTGAAGTGCCCAGAGGAATTGCTCTTTTGTATTTCACGTGGTGAAAATAATGAATCCAAGCTTATTTCTGCTTCTCTAGTGCCCACTAGTTCCATCCTGGTTATGATCAACGTATGACTCAAAATTGGACTTTCATTGGCCTTTTTTTTTAGGAAAAAAAAAAAAGAAGCTATCCCTGGATTATTGTTTGTTAAATCTAAAGTTTTTATGCTTGCAGCATTGACTTTGTGATGATGGTAAACCATATTAAGAACCCCCTTTTTTCTTTTTACTCATTCCCCTTTCTCTAAAAAAGTATTGAATTAAGTGAAGTTCATCAATTGTAGAAAGCAATTAATGAGTCGGCATCCCTTTCTGGTGCAATATTACTGTCATTTCCTTTATAAATTATCCCTTGATCATCTGCAAACTGCAGGGTGCTTGATATTATTTTAATGTTTACCTGACCAGTTGTTTTCTTGTGCTGATATGGTTTCTTCAAGATATGCATAAGTTTGATTCTCTCTCTCATTTTCCCAGGCAACTCCTGTGGAGTATGGTCATGTTATCTTGTTGCCCTGTGCTGTCAACGGTCCACTTCAATTCCTAGATGACAGGTCTTTGGAATTGGAAATGCTTTTGAGGCTTGCTGTTGAAATTAATAATTTTGCCCTCTGCTTATTCTATGAATGTTCTACTCCCAGGACTGCTTGTCCATATTTTCAGGTGAGAAGCCGCAGATTTATGGCTGTTGCGATTATGTTTGAATTTTTTTTTTTTGTAAGAGTTATTATGTTTGATAAGATTGTCAAGGTTTTTTAATAGCCAAAGTGCTCTATAACGCTGAGTCCCATGATCAAAGATTTAGAAACCGTTATATACGCTGAGTCCCGTGATCAAAGATTTAGAAACCGTTATATGCTCCGAGTCCCATGATCAAAGATTTAGAAATTTTACCATCACTTGCATTTTACAGAGAGTCTAAAAATGGAAGTGCATTAACTACAGGGCAAGCGCCATAAATGCCTAAGTGGATAACCAGCACTAAAACTGTCCTTACAGTTAGCTATTTGGTGTTTTGATGAATGGAAACTCGTTTATGTTGTCACCCCATTGATATGCAATAATTCTATATTATTCCATGCATTAAAATAAGACCGTTATATGGATCTTTTTCTGTCTTTCTTGCTTTCGTCATCCAGCTTGAAATTGTTTCAAATATGTAAGTTTTCCCCCAATGTTACAGGCACTGTTCTTTTCCAGCCTTTTACCTGTGGAGGCCATGGCAGTTGATACCTTCTTTAGTGATAGCTTGGGGGGAATTTATGTTTCTACTATCACAGATTACCCTGTTAAGGCCCTCTTATTCGAGAGCAGCTGCAACTTGAAGAAAATGGGGCAGGTTATTGCAGAGATATGTTCTCATTTACAGGAGAAATGCGTCCTGTATAATTTGCTGATTCGTGATTGTGGCAAGAAGATTTTCTTATTTCTTCAGGTAAAATGTTTCCTTGTGCTTCGCATGCTTAGTATAGAATTGTTTTCATTAAACTAAAATTTGTTAGACGTTGTTGCAAGAAAACATAGTTTTCTTAAGGTTGACGGTAGAGCTATGCAGTACAGAATTATAGTAATAGTCATTAGTATCTATCTTGGCCCTTAAATGATAATGGAGCCAAAAATAGGTTCACATTCCTTGTGGGGATTGTGAGCAATGATCTCAGCAGCTAGTGGTTCTGTTCATTATTGGAAAATAAGCGATGAAAAAATGGAATCAGTAGGCTTTAAATGTATATACTCAATCTGAAAAATGACATGTATTTTGTCTTGGAAAACATTCTAATAACTATTTCCATTATCTTATTCTCGACTCCTTATACAAATAATAATGATCTTTTGTTATTTGTTTTTATAAGAAACCGAGCTTTCATTGAGAAATATGAAAGAACTTTTCTATGTTCAACATTTTGCTTTTCAATCTTGTACCTATGTACCCAAGATACATAAATTTGTAGTGTCTGCAAAAGGCTCGAGTTTGACTTGGCATTAATGGAAGCAAAATAAAGAATTTGCTGATTGGATCTCATTTTTTCATTTTCCCTCTATAATCATAATTCTTCATTATGATTTATATAAATTTTTGTCATCTTTCTTTACCAAAATATTCAAATCATGCTGTACATTGGACCTGAAAGCAATATTTTTCATGTTAAATTTGGCTCCAAAGTTGGTGGAAGATAGAGAGCCTCTCCTTTGCCTTTAACCAGTCAGGGTATCTCTTAGTTTCATCTGATGAACATATTGGATAAAAATACAGCATAAGTTCCATTTTGTTTAATCAACTTGGTCCTATGATTTCTGTTTTATTCTTATGTAAATTAGCATTCTTTTTAGTACATAATACTAGGATTTCTGTGCATAGTAAACTTCTATGTCTTTTGTTTATATAAATCCTTCTACAAGCTTCATTCGCCCCGGATCTAACCGATGTTATGCTATCGATTGATTGATGGATGCAGTCGCAAGGGTCGGACAGATCTTCCATTCTTTCACCTTGGGAATGTTGGGGTTACTTCTTGTTCAAATCAAGGTCTGAATTTGATCAGGCAACTGAAGATGCCCTGCTCGATCGGATCGCTGCTGCTGCTTCCTTCGACGATGCAGAATTTCAGGGCGTGAAGCAATTCTGCTGTGACGTTGCAGGTAAAGTTTCTTTCTGATTCTCTGCTATTTCATAAGCCGTTGTGGAATGCTTCTGATTCTATGTAAATTTGTGTGTATGAACTCAGCTAAATTTTCGTTTTTGTCTAATGAACTTATGAGAGATACACATGCAGAATTCTGTACTGCATAGTTCTATAAGTTACTTGGATGTAATATTAATGACATTTATATATTTGTGTACCGGTGAATAAACATATTATGATGTACAGTTTTCTATGTTTATATAATACTCATATTAAATCCTGAGGATTCTTTCAGTAATGATGTTTATTTATGAAGAATGACCAGTCTCATTTCATGTTTTTTTAGGAGTGATTTCGTACTTGTGGTTCGTTCTTTTTAGATCTTGTTTGATAACATTTAATTTTTCGAAAAAATGAGTTCTATCAAAATATGGATATGCATGAAGAATGTTGGCACGTGGAGATGAAGTACCGTATGTTCAAGTTTATGTGGTGGTGTTAACGTTAGGTCGACATTTTATGTACACATGATGGTGTTGGTTTATGCATGTATTTTTCTTTTCTTTGAGCATCGATGTGGGACTTTTCATCCAACACTTCCCCTCGAGCAAAGTACGTCTCCCCTTAATCGAGGCTCAACTTATTTTTTACTAGGCCTTCGAGGTTCACAGTACTAAGTTTAGGGAATCGAGGCTCGACTCCTTTTTTACTAGGCTTTCGAGGTTCACAATACTAAGTTTAGGACATGACTCTGATACCATGTTAGATGAACACGACTCTTCATAATGATATGATATTGTCCACTTTGAGCTTCTCTCATGGCTTGCTTTGGGTTTGCTTTGGGCTTCTCTAAAAGGCCTCATACCAATGAATTTGAGCTTCTAATAGAGATAATATTCATTGATTATAAACTTATGATCATTCTCTAAATTAACTAGAATTTTTCATCCAACAATAATAATGTCTTTAACCCCGCAACAAAAAGTTCAATAATATTACTATTTCTAATATACGGAAGGAAACTGTTTATCATCTCTCATTTTGGTTGGAATTAAAGAACACTTCAAATTTCAGCTTAAATTTAAAGAGTTTACAAACATATTTTAATTTGTTAAAAAAATTAATTTCCAATTAATTATGAAAAAATGTATAAAAAGATTTGAAAATTAATAAAAAACAAAAAAAAAATATATATATAAAATGATAGCCATGTGCCTAAAATTAAAATTTCCAATCACTTACTTTATTATTGGATTACTATTTTATTTTTATCAGCCCAAATTCACAAAATAAATTATACCAAAATTTAAAGAAAAAAACTCGATATAATTTTGCGTTTTTTTTTTTTTTTTTTTTTCTTAAACTTATGATTTATG